CGAGACCCGTCTCTACCAAAAATAGAAAGAAATTAATCGGCCAACTAAAAATATATAGAAAAAATCAGCCGGGCATGGTGGCACATGCCTGTAGTCCCAGCTACTCAAGAGGCTGAGGCTGGAGGAATCGCTTGAGCCCAGGAGTTTGAGGCCAGCCTGGGCAACATAGTGCGACTTTGTCTCTGAAAAACAAAAGAAGAGTAGTGGAGATAGCAAGAGACAGAGAGAGGGACAGAGATGGTGACCGAGAGACAGAGAGAAAATGAAAGACATGAGAGATACAGAGATCAGGGCAGAGACTGAGAGACACAGTAAGCAAGAAACAGAGACAGGCAGGGAGACAGAACCAGAGACACAGACACAGGGAGACAGGGAGAGGCAGGACAGCAGGGACGTTGGGAGCCAGGTGCCAAGAAGGGCAGGGTCCCTCGGCCACACGTCCCCTTCTTGGTCCTTTCAGACACCCCGACTTTGGAGGGGATTCAGGCGTGTGGGGGGGCCAGGCTGCTGATTCACTGGACGGACAGACAGACGAGGGCCGCCAGCGATGGGCGACTGGGGGAGGGGCAGGTTGGGAGAGACCTTGAACTTGGCAGCGATGTGGGGGGCTGGGGGGAAGGCGTCCAGCTCTGAGGGGCAAGACCTGGGGTATGGGGGGTAGTCAGACCCCCCCCAGCCCGGTGGGGCGGGGTGGCCCCGTGCTTGGCCTCACGCCACCTGCCCCTCCGCCTGCAGTGCAGTTTGGCTCCTGGTTCGACCACATTAAGGGCTGGATTCGGATGCAGGGCAAAGAGAACTTCCTGTTCATCACCTACGAGGAGCTGCAGGAGGTGAGTGGCCACCGCCACCTGGGCACCAGGTACCGGGGTGCAGCAGCGAACAGCGTCCCCGAGCCCACGAGTCGGGGACAGACCGTGGCCAGACGCACCAAGTACTCAGGGGGCGCTGGGGGGGGAAGGCAAACGGGGAGGGGGGCCACGGGACGTGTGTAACGACTTAAAATAGGGTGGTCCGTGGAAGCCTCACGGAGGAGGTGACAATTGAGCAAAGACCCGGAGGAGGCGATGTCTGGGGGGAAGTGTCCCAGGAAGAAGGAACAGCCAGTGCCAAGGCCCTGGGGCGGCTTTTTGCCTCGACGTGCTCCGGGGACAGTGACGGCGCCAGTGTGGCCAGAGCTGAGCGAGGGAAGGGGAGGGCAGGGGAGGCCGGGCTGCGAGGACTCTGGCTCTGCTCTGAGCAGGGGAGGCGACAGGGCGCGTCCGATCACGAGAGACCGTGGCATGAGAGACCTGAGCTTCAGTGACTGTCGCGTGTGAGACGCGGAGGGAGACACGGAGGAGACAGGCCTCTGAGGGTAGACTGGGGTGCTCACCCGACCCCGTCCAACGCCTGGCCGGCACTGGGGGAGCAGGACTCCTTCTCGCTGGGGCCATCAGGGAAGGCTCTGGAACAAGGGGCCTTGCGGAATGGCCATGGTCTTGCCCGGCTACAAGAAGGGTGCTGGGCTTCTAGAAGGAACCCTCCACAGTCAACGAACATGCCCAGCCATTCTAGGTTCTGTTTTTTTTTTTTTTTTTTTTGAGACAGACTCTCAGTCTGTTGCCCAGGCTAGAGTGAGTGCCGTGGCGTCAGCCTAGCTCACAGCAACCTCAAACTCCTGGGCTCAAGCGATCCTCCTGCCTCAGCCTCCCGAGTAGCTGGGACTACAGGCACGAGCCACCATGCCCGGCTGATTTATATTAGTTGGCCAATTAATTTCTTTCTATTTTTATGGTAGAGACGGGGTCTCGCTCAGGCTGGTTTTGAACTCCTGACCTTGAGCAATCCGCCCGCCTCAGCCTCCCAGAGTGCTAGGATTACAGGCGTGAGCCACCGAGCCCGGCGGTTCTGTTTTTTTGTTTTGTTTTGTTGAGACAGAGTCTCACTGTGTTGCCCAGCCTACAGTGAGTGCCGTGGCGTCAGCCTAGCTCACAGCAACCTCAAACTCCTGGGCTCAAATGATCCTCCCGCCTCAGCCTCCCGAGTGGCTGGGACTACAGGCATGCGCCACCATGCCCGGCTAATGTTTTCTCTATATATTAGTTGGCCAATTAATTTCTTTCTATCTTTAGTAGAGATGGGGTCTCCTCGCTCTGCATGCCTGGTTTCGAACCCTTGACCTCAGAGCGAAAATCTCACGCCCTCAGCCCTCCCAGAGTCGCAGGATCACCAGGCGTGAGCCACTGCGCCCGGCCCATTCTAGGTTCTTAACCAAGGTCTGTTCCAAGAAGCCTCCAGAGCCCCAGGGAGGCTTCCCAAACACCCATCATCGCCAGTGTCTCAGACACTTTCATTTTTTTCTGCCTTTTTTTTTATCGTTCATTCTTTTTTTCCTCCTCCTCCTCCTTCTTTTTTTTTAAACACAGGGTCTTCCTCTGTTGCCCAGGCTGGAGTGCAGTGGTGTAGTCATAGCTCACGCAGCCCGATTCCTGGCTCAAGCGATCCTCCCACCTTGGCATCCATAGTGCTGGATACAGTCAGAGCCCCTGAAGCTCAAGCCACAGTCCTTTCTTAAAAGGTCCCTTCACGTATTTTTGTATTCTTTTTTTTTTTTTTTTTTTTTTTTGAGACACAGTACTCGCTTTGTTGCCAGGCTGAGGGCAGTGCCGTGCGTCAGCCTAGCTCACAGCAAGACTCAAACTCGGTCCGAGTGGATCTTCTGCCTCAGCCTTCGGTAGGCTGGGACTACAGGCATGCGCACCATGCCGGCTAATTTTTTTATATATATATAGTTGGCCAATAATTCTTTCTATTTAATAGTGAGAACGGCCGGTCTCGCTCTTGCTCAGGCTGTTTGAACTCCTGACCTTGAGCCAATCCCGCTCGGTTCCCAAGAGCTAGGATACAGGGTGAGGCCACAGCGGGGCCTGTATTCCTTTTGATCAGTACTTTTTTGCCAAGTTTTGTACGTTGGTGTGCAGACAAAGCTGGATTAAAATCCTCTTAACAACCACTTCCGGGGCCTGCCAGAAGTCTCATCCCTTAAAAGCACAGGAACCTGTTACATAGGTGGAAAGTAAGAGTGATTAGGCACTCCGAAGGGCGGTCCCCTGATTGGTAAATAACAGCATCATAGCGAATCCCTGCACCTGCCTGCAAATCCCCGACACAAATCAAACCTCATTTAACCTCACTAAAGTACGGACGGGGAAGGCATAGAAACTTTGAACCCCCACGACAGCAGTAGTTCAACCAATTTTGACTGCAAAAGGTGCAATTTGTATAACGGCTCTCCCCTAATGTCCATTACCCTTATTTTATATGAGGAGGAAACAGGGTTTATCACCAAAGACAGGGTCGATAATTTGCCCAAGCACACAGCTACTTTCGCTACAAATTCCATGTTTCTTGTTTTTCCCACCCTGGTATGATTCCTCTGGCTGGAAAGCTCTGGAAAAACGGTTCGCATCACTCCTCCCCCTACCGCTGTGCACCGCCCCAGGGCAACGCTGTATTCCTACCAACGGGAACCTGCCGCCAGGCGCCCAGCGCTGAACGACCACACAGCTCGCCGGGCGGGCCGGCCCTGGGCGTGCGAGGGCCGCCACGCACGCGTGTGTAGCCGGCGTCTCTGGCGCGCGCGGGCACCGTGCGAGTGGCTCTCCACAGGATACAGACCGGATGGGACGGTATGAAAACAGGCAACGACCTCTGCACCG